CGCTGTTGCTGCGCCGTGCGCTGCCGAGTATGGATGGGGAGTCGGGGGCACAGTTGTTGGCGTCGCAATTTATCAAGAGTGTGCCTGCCGCCGTGTCCCAGCAGCGGGAACTAGTAAACGCTACACGTTGGATAGATGCCGTATCCATTCCAGACCAGCGGGCAAGAACAATGACCGAAGTGGTAATCCGGCATATTGTAGCGTGTCACGGAATACGGAAGGTGATATTAACTGACCAGGGTCCCTGTTTTGAAAGTGACGAGTTTAAAGCCCGTCTAAAGCAGTTTGGCATCAAGAGGATACGAACTACACCGTATCATCCGCAGATAAACGGGCTTACAGAGAGAAACAGCCGGACGTTAAAGGAATGGTTAGCATCTAAAGGAGGAGATTGGGAGAAAGAGTTACCATTGATTTTGCTGATCCCAAAGTGTGAAGGACCGTACGTTATCACGGAGAGACGCGGCGCGGTTTACACGATCCGGAGAGAAGACAAGCAGAAGCGCGTAAATGCTAGTCAACTGCAGAGATGGTTTCAAGATTATCAAGTGTATGAGTCACGAAAAGCACCAAAGATGACAACGGTACGGCAATCAGAAAGACTACGACGACAGCTTATTAAAAGGGGGGACGAGTGTGGTGCGCGCTACTTATAAGTAGTATATGACATGAGTGAAAACGTAATGTCTGGCAGCAGAAGATGGGGGAAGATCAAGAAAGGAAGAGTGGGAACACAATGGAATTTGTATGAAACGCATGAATAAGTGAAATGTCAGACAATGGATTGATGTTTTGCAAATTAACGATTTACGATATGGTTTTCCTATTTTACTGAGTAACTCTGTAATTTTCGTTCAACACAATTCGGTTGCCCTCACCTGTGTTCTCCTTCACTACATTATTATCACTATTAGAAAACCTGGAAGCACAGGAGGGTAAGACGGAAAGGTCCTGGGTTCGAAACCTGAGAGTAGTAAGAGTCATAGATGTACACTGCTGATGAGTCCCATACCAGGACAAAACAGCCGTTCAGTGTTTTACTAGGTTTCGAATGATTCACTCATGATTTACATGTAAATTCTGGATCATTTAATCTGATCAAAGTAATCTTCGAAATTTGAATAGAGAAATAAGAAGACATATTTTGTGAGATAGTACCATTTCGTGCTTTCTCGTCAGTCACATACAAGCAACATGTTATTTGTGTAAATACAGTTTTGATGATAAGGTCAAAATTTCTTATTTAGCATGACATTCACTCACTAGAACCATGGTAAACAAAGGTCAACATACAGTTGTTTTTGAACACATAAAGTTGGACTTTTCCGACCAATCAAGATAGCTTCGAGTAGTTTCAGTGTGTGTGGATTTTGATTACATGTCACAACTCTAAAGGCTGGTTTTGGGTCAATTTGATGACCACTCATCATTAGATGTTTTGCAATGGACAAGGCTGGGTTTCTTGATAACTCCGCCAGTAGAACCTTAGGGGCTACTGCCGGTCCCAAGCCCGGATAAAGGAGGAGGGTTGGACATGGGGTTGGCGGCCCCATTCCGTTGAAATCTAACTTGCCAAAAAAACGCTAACCAGAAAAAATAATTCAAACCATTTTAACTCTGCCCTGGGAGTTGGAAGAAGAATTATGACGTCTCGTGATGAAAGCCGAGTCCCCTCGGAAGTCACGGGGCCGATGCCTCTTCTGACAACCAGAGCAACCATTTTTTTAGGTACATGGAACGTTCGTACATTGTGGGAGACTGGAAGACTATTTCAAGTTGCGGCAGAAATGAAAAGATACAACCTCGAGGTGCTCGGCATCAGTGAAACACATTGGACACAGGTAGGACAACTGAGACTTGCTTCAGGGGAACTGCTGTTATACTCTGGTCATGAAGAGGAAAACGCTTCACATACACAAGGAGTTGCACTGATGCTGTCCAAACATGCACAAAAGGCACTGATAGGATGGGAATCTCATGGACCCAGGATCATTAAAGCATCCTTCAAAACAAAGAAACAGGACATTACAATGAACGTCATCCAATGTTATGCACCTACCAATGACTACAATGACGACGTTAAAGATCAATTCTACGAAAGGCTGCAGTCAGTCGTCGATAAATGTTCACCAAAGGATTTGACGATTCTTATGGGAGACCTGAATGCCAAGGTTGGAATGGACAACACTGGATATGAAGACATCATGGGACGACATGGACTGGGAGAAAGGAACGAAAACGGTGAGAGATTTGCAAACCTATGTGCTTTCAACAAACTGGTCATCGGTGGCACAATATTCCCGCACAAACGCATTCACAAAGCCACATGGATTTCACCGGACCACACTACTCAAAACCAAATTGACCATATCTGTATCAACAAAAAGTTCAGAAGGACCATGGAGGATGTGAGAACCAAGAGAGGAGCTGATATAGCTTCAGATCACCACTTGCTGATCGCCAAAATGAGATTGAAGCTAAAGAAGCACTGGACAGCGGGGCAGACAACATCACAGAAGTTTAATACGGCCTTTCTTCGGGATACCGTAAAACTCAACGAATTCAAGATAGCCCTCACCAATAGGTTCCAGGCCTTTCAGGATCTACTCAATGGAGAGGAAGCAACATTGGAGAACAATTGGAAAGGGATTAAGGAGGCAATCACTTCAACATGTCAGGAGGTCCTTGGTCGCAAGAAGCACCATCACAAGGAATGGATCTCTGTTGGTACTCTTGAAAAAATTCAAAAAAGGAGGAACAAGAAGGCAGCTATCAATGTCTGCCGAACAAGAGCAGAGAAAGTTAAGGCGCAAGCCGAGTATACAGAAGCAAACAGGGAAGTGAAGAAGAGCATCAGAGCTGACAAACGAAAATATGTGGATTATCTAGCAATGACGGCGGAAAAGGCTGCAAGAGAAGGAAACTTGAGACAATTGTACGAAACTACAAAGAAGCTCGCCGGAAACTATCGTAAACCAGAACGACCAGTGAAAAGCAAGGAAGGGAAAATAATCAGCAACACTGACGAACAGCGAAATAGGTGGGTGGAGCACTTTAAGGAACTATTGAATCGACCAGCTCCACTGAACCCACCCAACATCGAAGCAGCATCCAAGGACCTCCCAATTAATATTTGCGCACCTACGATTGAGGAGATCAGTATAGCCATCAGACAAATCAAGAGCGGCAAAGCAGCAGGACCAGACAACATTCCAGCAGAGGCAATGAAAGCAGATGTGGAAGCAACTGCGAAAATATTTCACATTCTCTTCAAGAAGATTTGGGATGAGGAACAAGTACCATCAGATTGGAAAGAAGGATACCTCATCAAAATACCAAAGAAAGGAGATCTCAGCAAGTGTGAAAACTACAGAGGCATCACTCTTCTTTCAATACCAGGCAAAGTCTTCAACAGAGTATTGTTAAACAGAATGAAGGACTTCGTAGACGCCCAACTTCGAGATCAACAGGCTGGATTTCGTAAGGATCGATCGTGTACTGACCAAATTGCTACATTACGGATCATTGTGGAACAATCAATTGAATGGAACTCACCACTCTACATCAACTTCATCGACTACGAGAAAGCATTCGATAGCGTGGATAGGAAAACACTGTGGAGGCTTCTTCGACACTACGGTGTGCCTGAGAAAATAGTCAACATCATACGGAATTCTTATGATGGATTCAACTGCAAAATCGTACACGGAGGTCAGCTGACAGACTCTTTTGAGGTGAAGACCGGTATCAGGCAAGGTTGCTTACTCTCACCCTTTCTCTTTCTCCTGGTCATCGACTGGATTATGAAGACGTCAACATCTGGAGGGAAGCACGGTATCAACTGGACAGTTAGGACGCACATAGACGATCTGGACTTCGCAGATGACCTGGCTCTTCTATCGCACACTCAACAACAAATGCAAGAGAAGACGACCAGTGTAGCAGCAGCCTCTGCAGCAGTAGGTCTCAACATACATAAAGGAAAAAGCAAAATTCTCCGATGCAACACAACATGCACCAACCGAATCACGCTTGATGGAGATACCTTGGAGGACGTTAACACCTTCACATATCTTGGCAGCATCATCGACGAGAAACGTGGATCGGACGCAGATGTGAGGGCGCGGATTGGCAAAGCAAGGGCTGCATTTCTACAGTTGAAAAATATCTGGAACTCCAAACAACTTTCAAACAAAACCAAAATCAGGATCTTCAATACAAATGTCAAGACAGTTCTACTGTATGGAGCGGAAACATGGAGAACTACCAAAGCCATCATCCAGAAGATACAATTGTTTATTAAC